TGGTAAAATTCTCGGGCCCCCGAGGTCTACGGAAGTCTCTGGGGACCTCCAAAGTCTCTGGAGCACCTAGAGACTGCCAGAGAGGGAGGAACAAGAGGTGCAGAAGGGGAAAAGGGGAAGAAGTCCTCCGCTGCCAGTCACTAGCGGCCGCCCTTGCCGTCAACACCGCCGACCACCGCAGCTCCCACACCGAAATCTTGCCCACCGCAGCCAAAAAGCCAGCACAAGCCGCAACACCAATTACTCCTGCACCTCCCCCGTCTCATCCTCCTCCGCGCCACGCGACATGACTCGCCTGAGCTGCCTGCAAGGCACCGATACCGCTACCCAGACCTCTCCTGGGATGCTCCCTGGCCAGCACTCTGGAGTGCATCCAGCCGTGGCGACGAGGGCCTCCCGGGAGGCCCAGGAAGGCGAAAGCGAGGGAGGGGTAGCGGTATGGGCACCTTCTCGTTCTCGGAATGCACGCCCGGCTGCCCAGGCTCGTCAACGTCCTCCTCCTCCTCCTCCTCCTCCTCCTCCTCCTCCTCCTCCTCCTCCTCCTCCTCCTCCTCCTCCCTCCTCCTCCTCCCTCCTCCTCCTCCTGCTCCCTCCTCCTCCTCGTCCTCCCCGGAGGCTCTCGCCGCGGGGGCCGCGCCATGTACATGGGGGTGCCGCAGGTCGTGAAGGTGCTGCTGACCTGGCCGCCACGCGGGCGGGCGTCGCCAGGAGAGACGGGCGGGCGGACGGACAGACACCCGCCAGCGCGCGCAAACACCACATACACACACACACGAGAATAGATACATATATATATAGAGAGAGAGATAGAGAAAGAGATAGTCAGCAAGAAACAAATGAGTATATCATATCTAAATATATACATACATACATACATACATACATACATACATACATACATACATACATACATACATACATACATACATACATACATACATACCTACCTACATACATACATACATACATACATGCATGCATACATACATACATACGTACATGTGTACATACACACATGCATACGTACACACATGCATACGTACATACATACCTGAATGCATGCATACATGCACCTGCATACATACATATAAACATACATACATACATACATACATACATACATACATGCATGCATGCATGCATGCATGCATGCATGCATACATACATACATACATACATACATGCATGATTACACACAATCATGCATGCATGGACACATGCGAACAGACATGCATACATACATACGTACATGCACAAATACGTCTACATGCATACATACATGCATGCATACATACATCTATACTTCCATACATACATGCATGCATGCATGCATATATATATATATATATGTATGCATACATACATACAAACACACGCATGCACAACATACATGCACAAACACGTCTACATGCATATATGCATGCATGCATACATACATACATGCATGCATACATACACACAAACTTACGTGCATGCATACATACATGTATGCGTACATACATACATGCACGCATGCATACATACATACATAAATCGACATACAAGCATACACGCATGCATACATATACTCATGTGTACCTGCACGCATACATACACACATACATTAATGTATGCACGCATGCATGCATGCACGCATGCATACATACAGAGATGCATACGTACAGACATGCACGCATGCATGCGCACATACATACGTGCGTGCATGCATACATACATACACACAAGAGTACATACGTACGTACATGCATACACATACGTACATACAGACATGCATGTTGATACACGGCCTGGCTAGGATAACTAACTAACACACACACACACACACACACAAAACACCACACACACACACACACACACATGCGCGCACGACCATTTTTCCCCTCCAGCGGCCGAGCGACGTCACTGCAACGAGAGAGCGAAGTCGGGGCACGTCTAGCGCCAACTGACTCCACCCGACGTTGCACAACCACACACGCACACACACAAACACATACGTGTTCCTCAAACGTCGAAAGAATGGCACCGTCGCGAAGCGCTAACCCGGAACACGCTTGGGCGAAAATCCAACACACCCACACACACACAGACACACTGACACACACAGACACACACACACACAGACACAGACACACAGACACACACAGACACACACCGACACACACACACACACACACTTTGGAGCGCCAACGTGGCTGCCACTCGCCGGCCCGTCCAAAAATGCCCGCGGCCGTGCGCGCGACGGCTAACAAGGAAGGAGCCGGGCCCTCTCTGGGTGCGGTGGCGAAGCGGCGTCCCTACCTGCCGCGCGTAGGTGGCGCAGCCCCTAAAACAGGGGAAGGCACAGAGGAGGGAGGAGACGAGGGGGAGGGAGAAGGATGGAGCACGAGAGATTCGCAGGAGGCTTAGGAGCAGGAATACAACCAGCTGAATCAAATGGGCGGGTCGGGCGGCCGGACCCTAACGGACAGGTCGGGCGGGCGGGCCCAAACGGCCAGGTCGAGCGGGCGGGTCGCTGAAGCGTCAATCCATCATGAAGGAGCTCTCGAGCGATAGCGCGATTCTCAAGTAAATCGTTGGGAAGTCCAAAGCGACAGCGTGATTCGTGGGTCTTGGGGGTACGGCGCCGCAGAACGGCGCGAGGAACTACAACGCGAGAGCGCGATTCTTTCATACATAATCACGAAATCCAGCGCGAGAGCGCGAATATGGAACAACTTGTGACGAAGTAGCAGGCGGGAGCCGTTGAATGTGTAACCCAGAGGACATGGGCACAGCTAGCGGTCCAATAATTTCCCTGATTGAAAACCGGGCTCGAGCCCCAAAAAGAGCACTTCAAATGAAAAGCACAAAACGTGTATCGGGCAAGCGGGATCAACAAGATTTATTCTTTTGAAACGAGAACCCAACCAAAACGCGCAAGCATGTTCCTTTGCGAACGCTCGCGCGGCGTCGCGCCGGCCACGGTGGGCAACCTGCGGGGATCGGGGCGGCGAGCAGCCAGAGCCGAGTGACGAAACACTCTTCTGTGGCAGCGCGGCAGGGTCCGCACGCGCGCTCGGCAAGCCAGGAGACGGCACTGCGAACTGCCCGAATGCAAGAAGGAGGGGAAAGGACCGAGGAGCGGCCGCGAAAGGGGGGGGGAAGAGCCGAGAGTGCGCTCACGCAGCTGGGACCGCGGCGGGGCGCCCGGGGCGGCCAAGCCGGAGCAGCACCCCTGGCAGCGGGCACGGGGAGCTAAGCGACGAAACACACACACACACGCAATCAAACGCAAACACACATGCGCGCATCCAGAAACATCGGGGCTGGAATAAAGCGAGATATCAAAAGAGAGTGGCGAATCAGCTGCGTGCAGTTGGCTTGTCCCCCGGCGCTGGAGGCGCCCATGTATCGAGGAAAGCGCCCGGCAGCGAAGCCGAAACAACCTGTGCGCAGCAGATGTCGCTATTAACCCCGCCCCCTCGGAATCCCCCGTCCTCACCCGTCCCGAACCATCCAAGGTAATGAAATTGACAAATCCTGGAGGCGCCGATCAATCCCTGAACACGAAACCATTGTCGGAGTCCTGAGTGCATCCCTCCCTCCTCCCCCCCTTCCCTCCCCTCCTTCCCTCCCCATCACTCCGTTCTTCTTCCTTATAAATCACTCTTCCCTGTCGCACCTCGAGGCGTGTCGGTTGGGCGGGCCGGGCGTTTCGCCGTAGACTTTCTCACCATCGATGATCCTTAAACTGAAAACTCGCAAGAGCTTCACGGATGGAGAGCGGGTCGCTTTCAAAATATAGTTTTCGCAATAGCGCCGCGCACATTCGTCTCAACACTTCGCAGGAGCTTCACGGAAAGAGGGCGGGTCGTTTTCAATATGTGGTTCTCGCCTTAGCGCCTCGCATACTCTTCGTAAAGAATTTGGAAGAGACAAAAAAAAACACGGATGGAGGGTGGCCCATTTTCAAAATGTGGCTCTCGCCTTAGCACCGCGCACATTCGTTTTAAACAGTTGCGAGAGCTTCACGGATGGAGGGCGGCACCTTTTCAAAATGTGGCTCTCGCCTAGCGCCGTGCACATTC